CTGCTGTTCCCCATCCCCTTCCCTGCTGCATGGCACTTTGTTTTCTGCAATGTTGTCTTCAGAATGACTTTTCCTTCCTCCCATGTTTCATCTTTGGTCACAATCTGTGCTTTGGTTTCTTTTCCAAGTGAAACTGTTTTTCAACTTGTGTTCCCCACTTCAGTGTCCTGTATCCATTTTCTCTCCCCATAGCTCAGTGGTATCTTCTGTAATCTTGGTCCTCACTTCTCATCTCTGTCTCTTTCAGCTTTATCCTAGTTTACTGTTTCTTTCCATAACCATTGATACTGCACTACCAACCTATTTCCAGAGCTGGCAATCGTCTTGCAAAAGAATTCATGTCCCTTGAGGCCCTTTGTGATCTTTACCTACTCTTGTCCTCAGACTGTTTTCTATTCAGTGTAAGTTAAATATTTGTTTGACACAGCTCTCACGGTATGCCCCTCAGCACACATTTTCAGTGCTTCATAAAAGATGGATAATGTGCAGTTCACATAAGGAACCTCCTGCTCAGTGACAAACACAGTTCGGTGTTACGAGCATCATCTCCCTTCAGATACAGTAAATAGAACAGAGCTTCTCAAAACATTGGCTTTAGTTTTCCTTCTCGTTTTGCTCCATGAATCTCCATCTTCACTTCAGACTTTTGCTGGCAAGCATTGAGTCTCTCCTAAAAAGGATACCAGCTTCCATGAAGCAAGAAGTCATCAGGTCCTACTGGTTAAAAATTCAAAGCTGCTTCTGTGTGTTTCTCTTGTTTATACATTGGGTTTGCGTTGCTGCCTCTGCTGGGATGTGTGTAGGAGGGTAAGATAGTGAGGAGGGGGCCAGGCTCTGATCCCTATTTGCTTTCCCCAGCACTCTGCTCCTTTCTTTTATTGTCCTTCACAGATTCCAAGGGATTGGGTCTCTGATACACCACAGCATTTGGTGCTGAGTCTTTCTGTATTGCATTGCCCCATACAATAAAAGTCGGCCTCTAGCTAAAGCCTCTGGCCCCTGACAGTAAAGTTCTGCCTCTAGCTAAAGCCTCTGGCCTTTGCTGTACTATAAGCAGTGGATGTTCATTACAAAGATAACCACATTGCTTATTAGTGCACCGCTGAGAAGATCTACCTGTTTGCCTGGAGCTCCTTTGCAGCAGAGATTTTATCATAGGCTTTGTGCTAATGTGGCAACGCATTTGGAAAGTTCAATGTGTGGAAAACCTTAAGCAATTAAGATTTTCATTGCTTGTGTCACTGTTTGCACCTGTGGTGTGCATCGTTATGGGCTGCCTATGGAGTTTTTACAGAGTTTATTTAATGTTCTGTCTCACGTGTGAAGACTTGTAATGAAGAGCAGTCCCTGTCAAACAGCACATCCATCTCAGTTGAGTTGTTCGGCCAGAAGGAAGCAGGGTGCAGGGCAGAGGGCCTGGGGACTTGGGGTGTAATCCTGCTGGTGATGAGAGTTCCCTCAGGGACACTGGAAATCACCTTCACCATATTGTGAAAGCTTCCTGTCCTTTTTCATACGGAAAAGAAAAAAAGCTGGATATATGCATGTTTAATTACAACTGTAGGTGCTGTTCTGTGCTGTTTGTATATGTACCATATACAGACACATAAACATACGTGAAGTTTTGGGCTATATATTTTGCAGGTTCACAGTCAATCTTCTTCACAGTACCCATAAGTAACCTACTTCAGGCATGTGGCTGTGGGAAGTGTAGTGCTAGTGCCTGAACCTCCAGCTATTTTAAACCCAGGAAGGATTCCTGACTTCCCCTTGTTTGTGTGGGTGCCTAGTGGGCATCAGCTCAAGATGGTGAGTCTGATGGTGGAGTGGGAATAATTTCTTGTGAAGGGAATGGTATGTGTGATCAGGGCATGGTTTCAGAGTAGACACCATCCATCATTTGAACCCACTTTTGAGTGCCAGGTCTTTGGCAGATCCTCTCCAGTTTGGCCTTCTGGGAGTGTCACATCCATCCTTTATCTCAGTGAAAGCATACTGTGAGGTATCTAGTGGAAGGGGACATGTGATACTCAGCTGGCTGTGCTTTCACTGGAGAATGCAACCTGATCTTTTGCCAATTAAATTAACTTAGTTGATAAAATATACTCTGCAGAACGTGTTAAAAAAGAGTAGGGTATATGTGTATATATGGTGTATGTTCATGTGTTTTATGTGTTACCATTATTTAAAATGCAGGACATACCAAACTGAAAGTAGAAGCTGTCAGATTTTCTGATTATAATGAAATATTTTTGTGTTGGAGAATATATCTATGAATTAGTTTGTGAATTAGGGAGAAAAAGGAAGTGAGGAAAGAAGGCAAGAAGGCAGGGAGGGAGGGAGGAAGGAAGAAGAAAAGGAAGGGAAGGGAAGGGAAGGGAAGGGAAGGGAAGGGAAGGGAAGGGAAGGGAAGGGAAGGGGGAAAGGAGGAAGGGGAAAGGAAGAAAGGGAGAAAGGAAAAGGAAGTAAGAGGAAGAAAGAAAGATAAAGGAAGAAAGATAAAGAAAGAAAAAAGAAAAAAAAGAAAAAAGAGAAAAGAGAAAAAGAAAGAAAGAAAGAAAGAAAGAAAGAAAGAAAGAAAGAAAGAAAGAAAGAAAGAAAGGAAGAAAGAAAGAAAGAAAGGAAGAAAGAAAGGAAGAAAGAAAGGAAGAAGGAAGGAAGGAAGGAAGGAAGGAAGGAAGGAAGGAAGGAAGGAAGGAAGGAAGGAAGGAAGGAAAAGGAAGTGATTTAAAATAGATGTAAAGTATTGTAAGTGTTTGAACAGTAAGTAGGAATTGTATCATGCATTTCATAGGAGAAAGCATTGATTCTGTCAGTATAGAAAAAAAAAAAAAAAGAATACCCTAGTGTTGTTTTACCATTAAAATAGGTTGTTTATAGACTAAGCAGCTCCCTTGTGCTGGGATGTGTAAAAAAATCTAGATGTCCTTCTTGGACTCTAATTACCCAAGAGCTTTACCCGGGGAAATGCTGACAGTTGTTTCCAGTGAAGTCAGTAAGTGCTGGAGTACCTTGTGAAACATACCCTGTTAAGTACCTTGTTGAATGCAACTATTCTAATATTTTCAAATGTAATTATTATCCCCCTTGCAAATTCCATAGAATTGGTGCAATTGGTGCAAGGAACTCTTTGCAGGGCTTACCTGTATTTTCATAGAATCACAGCATCACCTGGATCGGAAACGAGACTTGCCTGCTCATCAACCTGACCTGCCACATCCCCTCACTAAACCATGTCCCTTAGTGCCACAGTTTCTATTTCCAGTAAGAAAACAGAGCAACATCTAAGGTGGGTTTTAACTGACAGCCTGAGTTTCCTCAGACCCTGTTGGGCTCTGCTTTATCTTCAGAGCGCTAATTACCTCTCCTCATTCCCTCCCCTCTTTTTCCTACAGCCTAGGCTTGTATTTGCTTTATTCAGAGCTGTATCAAGGCATTCATCGTTGTCATTTTATGATTGAATAAGCAGCACAGTCCTTAACTTTGCTGTTATTTCCAGCTGAGGACTCTCCATCTTCCATTGAAATTGCTGTTAATTGTCCCTCAGAATGATGGCTTTGGACTTCACATTCTTTCATTTTTCTTCTCGTGTTCACTCCTATAGCCCTAAATATTGTCCAGTTTGACAAGCGGGGTGTTTTGACAGATACATACTATTACTTTGCTGTGGCAGTTAAAAGGCTTCCAGTCAGATTTTAGACTGAGAATGGTACAAATCACAGTTTGGCAAAATTAAATAAATAAAGTTCCTACAGTGAGGATGAAATTATTTTACCGTATTTTGAAATATCTTTTTATTTCTACTCTGTGGCTGTTCAGGAGCCAACTCAGTTCATTTCCATGTGTTGCAAAGAAAAGTTAGGTCTTGCATGAGCATGTGTGTTCAGCAAGATTTAGTTTTTTATTTATTTATTTTTCCATTATATGAGGGTCGTGAGGATGAAAAGAGGGCTGGAGCACCTCTGCTATGAAGATAGGCTCAGGGAGCTGGGCTTGTTTAGCTTGGGGAAGGCTCCAGACCTTCCAGGACTTGACGTGAGCTTATAAACAGGAGGGAGACTGACTTTTTACATGGTCTGACAGTGACAGGACAAAGGGGTATGGCTTTAAACTAAAAGAAGGGAGATTTACGTTAAATGTCAGGCTGAAATTGTTTACTCAGGGAGTGGTAAGGCACTGGCTAAGGCTGCTCAGAGAGCTGTGGGTGCCCCATCCCTGGAGGTGCTCAAGGCCACGCTGAGTGGGGCCCTGGACAGCCTGAATCCCTGCCCACGGCTGGGGTTGGGTTTGGGTGGGTTTAAGTTCCCTTGCAAGCCAACCCATTCTGTGACTCTGTGACTCTGTAACTGTGTTTTATCACATAACCCAAGGAGTTTGTTAGTTTTAATTTGGACTCTCAGAACTGCAGAGCTCAACTTCTGTGTTTCAGTCTTGCTTATGCAACTGATCACCGATAGCCACACTTTGAGTTATTTTTCTTGGGGGGGGGCAGGGAGAGGGGGAATCATCCCGAAGCGTTACAAAACTCTCATTGCACACTGCAGAGGTCTGTGCTTTGCAGTCCTGCGCATCACCGCGGGCAGTGATCTTGCTGGGAATCTCAAGGAGCGCTTCAGGAGAGGGGCAGCGGCTTGGGGGGGTGGGGGTGGCGGCACGGCTGGAGCGCGGAGCGCAGCGAGCCGCAGCGTGCGCACAGAGCGCGCAGTGCGCACAGCGCTGCCAGCCGCCCGGCCCGAGCTCAGCTCGCGATGTCCGCGGCGCAGCCGGCTGCGAGCCCGGGGACGTCCGGGCGGGGTGCGGAGGAGCGGGACCGCGGTGATAAATGACCGCGGGCGCAGCATGAAGATCGCCGTGACGAGGACCCGCCTTTCGGGGACAGCCCGGGCTCCCTCTCGGGTTTCAGCGCGGCCGGGGCCGGCGGAGTTGCGGGGCCGTTGCCCTCCGTCCCGCCGTTGCCACGGCGCGGCCCCTGCCCTTTGTCACGGCGGCGTCGCCGGGGCATCGTTCTGACGCTGCGGGGCAAGATGGGGCGCTGCTTCTCGGCGGAGCTCTGCGAGGACCGCACGGTACTTGGGGAGATTTTTCTCCCTCGGTCCGGGAGCGGGGAGCCCGGGGCGGGGAGGGGCGATGCTCGGTGGTGCCGTGCCGGGGGCTGGGGCTGGGAGGCGACCGCAGAGCGCGGTGGGCTTCGGGCGCGCTGTCTGTGAACGTGCAGAGGTGCGAGACGTCGAAGAAGTTTGGTGAAGTTTGAAGAGAGATCGGGCGGCCCTGCCTGTCCTAAGGGCTTACCTCTGACGCTCCTTTCCGACGTGTCGGTGGCTTGGGTTGGACGGGACCTTAACGATCAGCCAGTTCCAACCCCCTGGAAACTGCTTTCAGGATGGATCTAACAGGACCGAGCTCCCGAGCATCGGAAAGAGTCGGGCAGGAAAGAGAGCAGAGGTAGGTACACAGCTACAGGTAGCAGGAGGCTGCCTTGTGCCAGGTAGAGCCAACACAGTGACTGGTGCTGTGTTCCTTGGCCTTTGCTTGGGGTTTATAGATGAGCGCATGCATTTAATTTGCTTAATAGCAGCTATCTTGGCAAAAATGTGCTTGTGCAGTGTACTTCATTAGAGTTTGGGGTTTTAAGATACTCATCCTCAGTCAAATGAAAAGCTGACACTGTCTCCAATTACCTAGTAACGTGTTTAAATGGAGTTAAGGACAGTGTCAGGCTTGTGGAAATGCAGTCACTGAGGGGTGTCCCAGTGGTCAGCTCCACCTGTGAACTTTGAGCAAAAGGAAGTGATGGAGAAGGATTACTGCTGCCCCTCTGATGGAGGAAAGGCTGTAGGTCATTGTGCACATGAGTCACAGTGGGCAGCAATCATTACTCCTGCAAGTATCAGCTGAACTATTTATTGGTATGACAGGTTTCCCAATGTATATTCTCTTTTCCCCCTGATGATTTATGGCCTGCCCCCAGGGAACTCTGAATAAAGCACAACCATGACTAAGCACCATCTGCAGGTCAGAGTCTCTCTCTCTCTTTTTTTTTTTTTAATCTTTTTTATTTTGAAAGCTCTGGATACAGGAAAACTGTTCTGAAGGAGCAGTGTTAATAACCAGTGCAGTACCACAGAGATCTGTGTGCAGTGCATATTTTTAGGTGGCAGTGCGGAGCATTAGGAAATGTTTGCAGACAGTCTGTACGTGTACTCAGACCTTAGGATGCAGCATACAGCAAGTGCACTATTAGTCATCAGGAAGGAGGAACGTGTCCATTTGTGGCTGTGACTCCCACTGCTCTGGTAGCTTTCCCAGCTGCAGGTGACTTTGTGCATGGCTCTGGGCAGTTTTCTGATCCTGCTGGCCTAACCTGTGTCATCTGTGAAGCAGACCTGGTGTTGCTTATTGTTGTGTTTGATTTTTATTTTCAGAACTGTACTGTTAAGTTTATGGCCACTGTCATGAACTGGAAAGTTGTCACATTCCTTCCCCTGCCTGCCTGCCTGCCTGCCCACTTTCCAGGAGCTGCACCAATCTGCTGCCTCTGTCTGTCCTTCAGGGACTTCAGGGAGTTTCAAATTGAACTGGGACTACATAAGTACCACGCTCAGTGTCTGGTTTACTTGCTGTAGTGTTGCTGAGTCTTTCACAGGAGAAATGCTGGGAAGTCTGCATATTTTAAAGCTTATGATAGGAAAAAGAGGTATTACTGTAGCTTTTGTTCAACAGAGCGTTAGCACAGAGCTAACATATCATTCTACCTATTTTGTTCTGCATTTCCTTCTGGCTGAGGAGACGGGATATATTCCAGACACAAGACTTAACCATTGTGTTAGGTATGAGGTGCCAACTTCCTTCATCTCCATCAGGAGCATGATTTTAGTTCATGAGATGTACATCAATCTCAGAGTCATTTCTTGGGATGCAGCCAATGGAAGACCTTTCTTGTAAGTCTTCCAAGCAATAATTACATTTGTCATTTATTAAAAGTATCTAAAAAATAAAAGCAACGTTTTGCTTTGTTAAAAACAAACAAACAAACAAACACTGTCTTGCTTTCACATTTAGGAGAGAAAAAAAAATCCTGACTCAGATCATAACAATTTTTTCTGCCTACTGCATAGAAGGACTGGATACTTGCAGTCTCCTTATAGTGTCTGGGGCCTTTCCACCCACTGGAACCAGCCATGGCCCTGGGCTGGCAGCTGAGCCATGAAGCCCTGGGTTGGACCTGGCCTTCAGTGCCTCTGAGCAGCTCTACTCCAAGCAGTGCCTGGGTGAGGGAGGCTGCAGAGTTCTGTGGGTCTGCTGAGCCCGTGGGGCACAAACCCATGGGGGGGCAGAAAGGTTCCTGCCTGCTCTGTCTTCTCTTTCAAATACTCATTTGCGATAAATATAATGAACATTGATTAATTCAATAGGATATCCTGTTAATTTCGAGTCTTGTACGTTTGTTTTGACCGACTTTACCTTGTGTGCGTGGGCATTTTCTAATTGTTTTGATGTTTTGAGGTTGAACCCCTATGAATCTCCACATTGGATCTGATAGCTTTTTGTTCTCACTTCAGATTCAGTTTCACTCTACTGTAATACCGGGTTTCCCAAGAACTGGCATTCCCAGAGCTCTGGCTGCACTGGCTTTGGTGTGCTGGTTATGTGCTGAGCCCCACTGATGATAACAGGGAGAGGCTTTTTCATGTGGGATTAGTGTCATGTTGACACTGGTCCCAGGAATGCCTGCAGTCCAATCCTATCATGTTACACTGACAAAGCAGGTTACAGTAACAGAAAATGTCAGGGATTTGTGAGTTCACTGCACATCCAGGAGACCATGAGGCTGACCCAGTGATCAGCCAAAGTACTCCTTGCCTCTCTCGCAGAAGAAGAAAATAAGCACTGATCATAGAATATCCCGAGTTGGAACCTATAAGGACCATGGAGTCCAAGTCCAACTGATACGCCACTGTTCAGTAAAAAAATCCTCCAAGAAAGCTGCACTACAATAAAACTTGGTGCTGAGGGCACCCCTCACATGTCTGATGTCTCAAGAGACAGGAAAAGAGGTCTGGAAGAGCAGTGTGGAAGCTCTTACTGCACTATAAGCAAGCACAAGAAGTGTTGGTAAGGGAGGTACCTGACAGCCAAAGCACCTGAGCTGAACCAACACAGCTGCTTGAGATAGCCCCGGGGCTGCTCTGCAAGCCCCAGCATCATGGTGTTGGCCAAGTGTTCCGTTGTTGGTGCTCATGCCAACATGTAGGCATGTTGGTGGGTTTGGGGACAGCATCGTGGTGACTTCTCTCTTCTGGAGAGCAATTCACCACCAGGCATCCTCAGAGGTAGGGCAAACCTGGAGTCAATGTCAGGTGAGGAGTCTGTCATATTTCTTAGGTAGAATCAAAATTTAAACTCTAATTTTTTAACTAGGATATGTATTTATTTATTTATTTTTACTTTTTTTTTTTTTCTTCTTTCCATTTTTTGCCCATAAGGAGGATATTAACAATTCCATTGAGTTCTGCTAATCTGTAGATGCTGAAAGTGCTCTATATGGGGCTCAGAGCCTCCTTGCTGTAAATTGTCTTACTTTCTGGGAGTGGGTAACTTTAGCGGGTGCTCCCTATCTGTGAGTCCCATATCCAATGTATCCCTGAGCACATACCTCCAAGGGCACTGCTCCTGGCAGCCTGTCAGGAACTCTTCCTGACTCCAAGGGAGCAACTGGGCAGTGTGGGCAGATGCAGTGATACTCTCCAAAAGGGGAAACGTTATCTCTGTAAGAATGCTGTTTTCTGCATCTGTGCGAGGGGCACATAGCAGACTATTTTAATCTGGATCTTTTTGGATCTTTAAGGCTTTTTTTTTTTTTTTTTTTTTTTTGGCCTAATGCAGTCTGGAGACTCTGCAGTCCTGGCAGGCGATGCCCTGTGCATTAGTCAGCAGTGTCAGTGTATGGAGCTGGCTCTGCCAATCAGATCCACCAATCATTTGGTTTACAGTAAAATTTTCTGGGAGTTCCTTGGAAGTGGTAGATGTCACCCCAAAATGGCACTGTGTTAAGGATTACAACAAATTCCAGGTTAGGATTTCCTGGTATTACCCCCGACAATTAAAACAGTTCTGTGTTTCTCTTAACAGAGCTGAAGTTAAATGCAGGAAAAATAAAGAGAAACATTAGGCTCTGAATTTCATTCCACTTTCATTAGATTTGGATTAGTCTTGTTTGCTCACTCCATCTTTTAAAGTCCATTTGCTACTACACTGCCTTGTTTCTCAGATGTGATTTTACCATAGTGTCCTTTAGAGATTCATTAGGCTTTCCAGCCTGGGACACATTTATAGCAGCTTCACAGAGCTTTCCTAGCCATAAGTGACATGACCAGCATGTCTACGCAAAGGGGCATGTCTACTTTCCTTTGCCTTCTCCCTGATCTGATTCAGGACTTTTCCAATTTCAAATGCCTTTGTGCTTATACCAATATGCTGGATTTATTGCATTAAACCAATAAACTCCTATAGATTTTCCTGAAGCTTTTCTTTGTCAATTTACACAGCACTTATGAAATATCCACTATCAAAGTCCTACATTTCAATAATTCAGCATTCTTAATGACAGTATTGTTTAGTTTTCCTTTGTCCAGCACATCTGTTTTAATGCCTTAAGTATTCAGATTTCTTTTGAGACAGGTCAAGGAAAAGAGCTCGTATCCTTCACAGACAATAGAACAATATGAAGGAAATGTGGAAATAGGCATAAGCATCATGCCAGGAGAGGTGTCTGTCTGTGTAGGGTATGCTCACCATGTCTAGAATGGTGTAAATGCAGTAATCTGCTCTGCAAATTCAACAACGTGAGCATACTATTTTGTTACTGTATTACTATGGTAGATGCAGGCACAAATAGATGAAAGTGTTCAAACAGAATTAACAGTATCACCCTGTGTTGTCCAACCATGAATGGTTCACAGATTGAACAGCAAATAGCAGACAAGTCTTTTTAGACACAGGGGAGTAATTAGTGTATTCAGTGCTGTCATGAGCACGTGGCTCTGTGTGTATGTATTCCTGCCAAACAGAAGTATTTGTGGCCAATGAGTGGTGGCTTTTAAGCTTGAAAAACTGAATGAATTCATTAAATCCTCCCTACCAACCCCACCGCCCCCAAAAATCTGAGGAATCACTCTAATCTGCTTTACTAAGTGAACATGTGAAAGTGCTTATCTGGGATAAACCCGGGGACTACATATTTCTCTCTCTTTTTTTTTTTCCCTTAAACAGAAAGAAAATGCTCTTGTGAAAATAGACGAGCTAGGAGTTGAGCTTACAAAGATCAGGGATGAAGTCGGTAAGTAGCACAAGCGAAATAACAACAAAAGTGTTTCTCTCAGTTTACACAAAGTCCAATATTCCCTATAATCTGTTCCTGGATAGCATGTAAACATGGGACAAAGTGTCTTCTGAAGCCCAGTGGCAAGGGGATTCTGTGATTTCACTTTGTTGTTGTTGTGCAGACAAGTCCAACACAATGCACCGAAACTGATTGTATATCATCTGTACTAAGCAAGTGGCTCTTCATAAATCCACCTGTGAGTGGCTCTTCAGTATCTAAAAGGGAGCTGTAAGAAAGAAGGGGACAGACTCTTTTGCATCGGCTGTTGTGAGAGGACAAGGGGAAATAGTTTCAAACAAAAAGAGGGGAGATTTAGTCTGAATTCAAGGAAGAAGTTGCCCAGAGGTGGTGGATACCCCATCCCTAGAGACATTCAAGGCCAGGCTGGATGGGGCTTTGAGCAACTGATGTAGCTGTAGGTATTCCTGCTTATTGCAGACAGTTGGACTAGATGACCTTTAAAGTTCTCTTCCAACTCAGATGATTCTATGGAACTTGCTGAGCCCAGAGTGGCTCTGCCTCCCCTTGAGGGAGACAGGGATGTAGATCCTTCCCAACAGGGAGGGCTATGCTTTGCCTTTGCTTTGCCTCTGGTGACTCATTGCAGAAAAGCTGAGCACAACCCTTTTCTGATGCCCAGCTGCTTGTGCTCCCTCTGAAATATTTTGGCCAATTGCCATTTCAGAGAAAGATTTTTGTCCCCATTGCCAAAGGATACTGCGGCAATAGCAAAATATTATTTACAGTTACATCCTGACATTTGACTTCATCCATCATCAGCATCACTCTCACAGAGGAGCTGCTTCTACAAGTGCTTAGGAAGGGCACACCTGAAGCTCTCTGTTGTATATCCACTTCTCATTTGGAAGCCCTACCTCTTGGATTTGCTCATGTTCTCCTTTGGGTTTACAGCAGGGAGCAGAGGATCAATATGCTCCCTTTTTTGACTGGTGGTGTGAAACCAACTGCATTTTGAATCTGCAAGCTAGGTGCAGTAACTGATACCATGCGTGAGATCGGTTCTTGTCAGTCAGTTCTTTGCTGTCTCTAGAGCAGTGCAAGCTTCAGGTGCTAGTGGAGACGTATATCCCACCTGCATAATACGAGGGTTATGCTGTTCTCATTCTCAGATGAATCTTTACATTGTACAAAATTCTACAAAAAAACTGTTGTGCCAAAACTTATGCAAATAAAGAACAAAACAGTCACTTAACATCAGCAATCATAAGCAGTTGGAGTTAACATTTAGGGGAAAAGTACAGAGTGAACCAGTAACTTAGTTATTTTGACTACAGTCAAGTAGTAGTTCTGACTTGTCTCGGTCACTTTGATAAGCGGACTGTCATTAATTTAAAAGTTATCAGCCCAGATGAACAGCTTGAGCATTGGTCAGAAATTCTGGATTTCTCATGTATGTGTTTGCCATGTAAGTAAGACTCACAGATGCAAATGTCTGGATGAATCAGTAAAACTAGGCTAGTGTAGTCAGTATTGGTACAGGTGGTTGGTCTAATGTTTGGTCATGTAGATGATAGCTCTAATTAGGATTGTGTAACATCACGTGTGTGGTGCAGGCTGGTTCTTCAGGTTCTCTGTACAGTCAGTGAAGAGAGAGCAACACTCAGGGAGGGTGGTCTGGCTTTAACAGGCCAGTGTCCAGGACTGTCTCTCTAATTGCAATTATTCACCTTATTTTAAATGTCTACATGCGGGGTGGGTATCTAGTCCCATCTTAGGCAATGTAGATCTAGGCCAGAAATAGGTGCTCAGTGCTGCTTGAGATGCCCCAGGGAATCTGAGATATCCATGTGTGTAAAACACTGTCTGTTGTGGGCTGTACCCTTCTGGATCCAAGCAGGATGTTTAGGTTGGGTGACACCCTCCACCTTTACCTCTAGCACTGTTGTGGAGTCACACACCTCATCATGCCATGAAATAGAAAAGTGCTGCTTCTCAGCTTGAAGAGGAATGTGTGCATCCACAGCTTTGTAAGCACCAAGGAACTTGTTATTTTATACAAAAAGGCTTGCTCATGTATTTTGCTAGAAATAACAAGGCTAGAAAAACACTACAAGCAATCGTTCCACCCTCAAGACACCCATCTTTATAAATTATACATATAAGCACTTTTCAGATGTAACACTGAGACTCCTGGAAAAACAGAAGTGTTGAACACCTTCTGTTTCCCCTCACACTAGTGGAAATTAAATGTCAGAGTTGCGTGTTCCTTTGCTGTCAGATAAATGACATGTGAAGTGAGCTGAGAGATGTGGAGGTGCATAAATGCCTCTATGAATGTAAGACAATCAGATGTTAGGTTTAAAATTTGCACTGTGAATTTGCAAGAATTTGAAACCTGAGTGCCAGCTTCTTCTGGATGTGCCTTCCAATCAGAGGAGACTGAACTCAAACAAGGGCTCTGTGATTTGTCAGTGGTTCTGTGGCTAAGGGTCAGAAGTAAGGGCGCAGGCTACACAATTTGTTTTTGCTGTTGGAAGCAGAGCCCATTTCTCATGAGCAGGCGAACCCTGTACATATGACATCAGCCCCCAGCTCCCTTGGGATGACCCTGCAATGCAAAGAGGCTGGGCTCCAGCTCTGGTTTTCTGCAGGGGATTTGGTCCATCAGTGACATCTCCCTCTCCCTCACCTTCCCAACCTGGCCTGAATTGGGTTTTGCTTTTCTGTTGCACGCTGTAACAAGGTGGGAAATTGAGCAGCTCAGGGAGCAGGGAGGCAATGGCACCTGCTCCCCTGTAACAAGATGGCTGCTGGTTTTTTTGGGGTGTCTTATGTTCAGCATTTCCTGGGAACTGGCGTCATTATCTGTCTCCTTTAGCATGTAGGGATGTGCCATGCAGACACACTTGCCCTCTTTCCTCCATTTTGCACCTGCATCAGTGTTTGATTTGAAAAGCATGAGCACTTTTGTATTTTAGGTGGTGGAAAGAGTTTCATGTTCTGGGAAGTATTACAGATTGACTTGCTTTTGGTTAGAACGTGTCACTTCATTGCCTGCCCTCCCTGTGTGCTGGGTAATCTCATTAGAGAGGCTACGAAAAGAAGGGTTTCATTGCAGCTCCAATTTAAAGCCTGAGTAAGTTTCAATTATTCTGAATCCAGAGCTGCGGGCTCTTTGGTAGCTTTGCACACCAAGTGAAACTGTTACAGCAAGAGATGGAGTTTACAGCTATAAGCCAAACCACAAAGACAGGACATTTCATGACCATAAAAATCCAGTTGTGGTGTGAGGTAGGTGGGAAAGCTTTCTGTGTGGCATTGCTGCAGTGCTGAACTCCCTGGTACAGCCTCACTTTCTGAAGGGAGCAGAGAGCCTGAAAGGGGCACAGTGTCCATTTAAAGCTTCAGGAAACATCAGGATCAGAATCCCAATGTCTGAGAGCATTGTCCAAATGCTCCCTGAGCTCCAACACTGACACTCGGGGCCGTGCCCACCGCCCTGTGGTGCAGACCCTTTCCCTCACCCCCAGCTGCCCTCCCCTGCCGCAGCTCCATGCCGTTCCCTCGGGCCCTGTCGCTGTCACACAGAGCAGAGCTCAGCGCTGCCCTCCGCTCCCTGTGAGGAGCTGCAGCCGCCATCAGGCCTCCCCTCAGCTCCTCTTCTCTGGGCTGAGCACACCAGGGGCCTCAGCTGCTCCTCACACACCTTGCACTCCTGACCCTTCCCCATCTTTGTAGCCCTCCTGTGCTATATGATGCTAATAGTTTGATATCCTTCTTATGTTGCGGTGCCCAAAACTGTAGATGGGACATGAGGAAAGACCACTCCAGAGCAGACTAGAGCTTAGCCTGATGCTATAGTAGAAAAAGACAGGAAAACACATGATTTTCTGCTTCCAGGAAACATAAATTGTAAGTCAATCAGATTAATGTTTTTGAAACGTTCTGAAGTTGTCTGTAACTTCCAAGGCAGCTTCTTCCACTGTGCTGACTTCCAAGGCCATGTGTGTCTGTGCATTTTAAAGGACAAAGGAAGGATAAGAGTCTGACACGGTATATTCAAAAGCTCAGTATTTTTCTAAACCAGCTACGGACCTAAATCAGAAAGAAGGACCTGCAGTGCCATCTAGAACACATCTTTTTCTGTGGTTGTGTTCTGAATGTTATCATCATGATAATTTTAATCACTTCTTTCCCGATAGCTCTTTGACTTAATTTGTATCAAGCCTTCACTGTCTGAATTGACAGCAACTATTTGGTGACAAAGTAAAAGCTGCGGAGTACTCTGTGACACTGCTGCCCTGGGAGCCAGGAACAATGCAGAGGAGGAACCAAGTGAGGAAACAGATTGGAGCATTCTTGATTCAGCGGAATGCTAGAGTTGCACCTTCTGAAACAAGTTGTAGACATGCTCATGAATTTAGAGAGTTACCACCGGGTTAGTTCGCAAGAGTAAAACATGTACACTTTCTGCTTGCCCTCAGTAGTAGCCTGTCCTGGGTGCTCTCTGGTTCCATGGAGCACACAAGATAGTTGTTTGAATATAAAAATATTTAAGCAAGTGTGCACTAATGGTTTTAAGAGATCCTTGTTGGAGCTGGTATAAGAGACAGGTCTGCGGGGTGAATAGCTTCCAACAGATGGAAAATAACATATGCATAGGATGCAACTCAAGAAGGTCTTCTGCTTCCCTGGCATGTTGTTGTAAGTGGGACTATGGCCAAGGCTATGACTTGAGAAAAGGAGATAAGGAAAATCTCTTCTCCCAGATGAAAGGCCCTGTGTCAAGTGATTGTCACATGTGCTGTCTTTACCATCCAAGACAAAGTAGATGCCCCAAAGACTTGATTTTTTAGTCCAAGACTGTGCTGGCCAGAAAGGGGACATCCCTGAAATAGAATGGAAGTCCATGAAATTCCTTGTTTTTGTATTATTCCAGGCTCCAGTTTTGCGTGGGCATTTGCAGGGCTCTGCCAGTGCCTCTGTTCAAATAAATACTCCTGTGTATGTGCGTTGAAGGGAGGGAGACAGAGGAGAGTGTGAGCCTGTTCACAATTGGGATTCTGGAGAGTCTCAGTGTTGGCAAGAACCACTGTGCTCGGTGATTTACTGAGGTGATACCACCCTTGCTTCCAAGGAGCTCAGAGCCTGACTATATACTTTTGTGTCCTCAGCCATCAACACAGCGAGATGTAAGAAACTACAAAATGAGAAGGAGGATCTGGAGAGGCGCTTAGAGGAGGAGGCGAGAAAGCTTCGCTGGCAGCAGAAGGAGGAGCTGCAGGTTCTGGAGCAGCGTTTACGTGAGGATTACAGCACTAAGATGGAGAGCCTGCAGGAGCAGCACAAGATGCAACTGGATCTAGTCAAGTCTCAACATCTGCACCAGGTCAGTTCTAGCCTGTTTGCTTCAGAAAAGCAGACCATGCCTGTTCTGAGTGGGTTCAGGTAATGAAACACATAGGCAATCTCAAGCATGAAGACACTGGTAAAAACCGATGACTAGAAGAATATATTCCAGATTATCTTTATGGCATTTCCCTCCTATTGTTCTCAATGACATTTCAGTGTAGTTGCATGTTACATTGCCATGTGTTTTCTTAACATGCTTCCTGATGTTCTACAACTAACATAAATAATTATACTAGCTTTGCTCCCCACACCTACTTGCTCCCCATCCCACCTATTCTAGTCAATTTATATGAAGCCAATGGTTGAGCAAGAATCTGTTATGCAGAAGTAATGCCAGCATGTCCCTCATTCTTTCAAATGCCACTGCTGATACAGTGAAGTGGTGGGGTCCATGTAACGCATAGCTAAATATCAAGTGGGTGATACACTCCAGGTTCCCTGATTTCTTCTCCACCATTCAGACTAGTCTCTTCGATTGTACAAAACAAACATTTCCCCTTGCGTTGCAACTTTTATGTAGGTATGGAAGAAGACTCCCACATACAGCTACTTTACTCTTATTTTTAATGGCTGAAGTGAATGATAACCATAATTCATGCATGGGCACCTCATGGAGGCAGAATGCCCTGCTGTGTATTATGCCAGTTTTGCCTTCAGCTTGTCTTTTCATGCACTTTGTCTTGTACTCACTGAATGTAGGGTACAATTCTAATTTTTCCAGCTGCAACTCTTACACACTGCTCAGCACCACAGTTCATGAGGGTTTTTTCTCACATGAGTATTTGCAGCACTCAGGTACACTCTGCCATCTGTGCTATGAAGCTGTGACATGCCATAGACCCTGCTGCTATGGGCAGAGCATCCTTGCACCCAGAGCAGCACAAGGGTGAGTCACCTCTGCAAAGCTTGAGCCTAGCCAGCAGGACCCTGCTTGGAAGCAACGTACTCTCCAACCTGAGTATTTCACAAATACCCACAGTAGCTGGGGATGGGAGTGATTTTTTTCTTCTCTTTCTGAGGCCATGTAGACTGTCAGCAACACTCTGCAGTGCAGATGTGCCACACTATTCTCCCTTGTCCTTGGATGGTGACAAGGCTTGCTTTGGAAGTGAGCCAGCCTCATCAAGAGAGCCTGTGCCCAAGATAGTTTAGCAGGATTAAGGGGTAAATGTTGGTGTAGCACTGTAGCACCACCATAGCTAAAGCTCCTGCAGTAGCCAGGAAAAGGGACTGCTCTGCATTTAGCTCAAGGGAGGGGAAAGGATGGATGTCGCACTGAGTTACATGGTCTAAAACAGCCACAAGCATGGTTTGGTGGTTGGACTAGATGATCTTATTGTCTTTCCAATCTTAATGATTCTGTGATTCTATGAAAACGGTAGGTTGGGGCACAGCAGAGGCTGCAGTCCAGTCTTTAAGTTCAAATATTTATAAAAAGGGAAATGACCCCATTTATGCCCTGTAAAACTCCTGAGACAGAAGTGAAAATACAAACTGAGACGATGACAATTCTATGATGTCTCTTGTACTGTGTTTACAGCATAATGCCAGTGATAAGGTACACAGCTCAAACAGCCATGTCAGATAGACACACTGCATCCCAGCCTGTGCCCCTGCCACCCCAGGTGCCACCATGCAGGCAGAGAGGACAAGAACACTGTGTGCCACTGGGCAGTAGAGCAGTGTTATGGGCTCCTTCGTAGCTTTCCCTCAAAAGGGAGCTGTTGGCAGAACTTCCCCTCCCCAGGTCTCCCACTCCAAGCTGCCAGCTTGCTTCTTGTTTGTTTACTCTGCTATCAATGGGCCCATAATCTTTGACAACTGATTCCAGCAAAAATATTTTTATGGGGATGTTTCTTCTTTCTCCCATGTAAAGATTTGGGGGAGGGTGAAGCTCTGTCTCTGGATTTTACCCATTTTAATTGCTGTGCCTGTTAGCTGTTATTGATTTGCAGGGCTTGTAAAGTGCAATACAAAGGCTTTATATGACCAAGCTCTTTTGTCCCAGGCAAACTGCCTTTTTTCTGTTGCTGCATTGATTTTTAAAGATGCTTGGGAAGATGCTGTAAAATAGTTTTTTGTGCTCTACATTAGAGTTTGCACAATCTTTCTCTGGAATTGCATAGTGTCTGTTCTTGAACTGTGTCTCTTGGTTCTCATTTTAGTTTATGACAGACATTTTTCTTACAAAGCCCCTCAAATTTTCTGCTTTGGGTTATGTTATAAAGGAGGGGGTGGCATTCCCAAAAGCTTTGGCTTTTTTATCCCCTTCACTGTGTTAAGTGTGCCAGCTTGTCTTGAAAGGGATACCAGCTCTAGCTGCAAGCCTTGCCCCTCCTGGATCATCAGGCATTAGCATTTGTGAAGGAATTTGTTCTGCAAGTTAATTTTTTGCTAGGAGAGCTGATGACTTATCTCTGCTTCTCTTTGAAGTGCTTCTCCAAGCTCCAAAGCAAGGGTGGATGGTGATTTTATTCCCCTCAGGCTGATCACTGCAGTGTGGGTTACACAGGTCACTTGACTACCAATATACTTACATTTCTCATGTCCTCAACTGTTGCAGTGCTATTAATCACCACACTGAAACAGTAGAAGTGCATCTTCCCTTTAGTGGGGCAAGTAGTTCTCCCTCCTCCAATCCTTTGGTTTGCTCCAGAACTCTTAGTTCCCAGAATTACAGGAAGTAGAGCAAACTTTTCTCTGTGTTGCTTCAGAACCTCTGTTGTGAGCCTGGTATCTCTGTCTTTTCAATTCATAGTTCTTCCTGCATCTCATAATGAGTTTTAGTAGTTTTTCCCTCCTGACTCATACTCAGCTGTACACCCATCCTGTGTTCGTTGTTATCAGAAGCTGGCTGGAAGGCTGCTCACCAGTGACACTTCTTGGCCTCTTGCCTGGAATAGGACAAGGAGAACTGGGGGAGCTGTGTTAGCCTCTGAACCAAGTTGCCTGAGAACTAAGCATAAGAGCCTGACACCCAAAGGGTGTGTTGTCTGTGGTTCTTCATCCTCTGCTCCACTTAGAGAGATGATGTTCTGGAGAGTGGAAGCACTTGGCTCTGAGCATGCCACAGAGCATAGCCTGCTCAAGGGACTGGAGTCATTCAGCCCTAATGCTGCTGAGCCAGCAATGATCAGGTGTGACAATGCTTGCCAGTATTTCTATGCTCCTTGCAACTAAGTGCAAAATTATAAATCCATGGTCCTGACTTGCCAGTGTTTCTTGAGCAGTTCAGCTCAAACTGCTTTGTCCTCCAGCCCACTGAACTCCTACTAGAGCCTCTTCTTCCCTTTGGTTTATTAATCCTTAAAAATCCCATATGAACTTCTTTTTACAGCCAGAAGTAACTGTGACACAGGATTTAAGTGAGTTGATCAAGCTTACAGAGTAACTTAGTGGCAGGGTTGGAATGTGATCCAAGAGATCTGGTTCCAGCTGCCAAGTAGACAATCTGCTATGAAAACTGCAGACTGGAGGTCACACAGGAAGGTTAAAAGGAGTCATTTGGGATGGGAATATAAAGCATTCAGAAGACAGAAAAAGCCCTGGAGACCATTTGAAAACTGGAGCATATTTAATTGGACTTATAGATAAATAACCTGACAAGGATTGTGGCAGAGAAAGGAGACCCCTTCACCTTCTGAGGATGTTGGAATTGATCTTAATTGTTCCTATGGGGTGCTGCTGAGCTGAGCAGCAATTAGAGCATGAGTAAAGACTTAAGTAAGGGTGGGTTGAAGAATGTGGCAATGCTCACACGAGGCATGCAGACTGGGAGAAATCAAGTGATAGTTCATATCCCAGTAGTAGCCCATTGCCCTGCTCTCCCATGGAGTGTATCAACAAGCTGAGTTCCACATTATACTGTGAACAGTTTTCACCTCTTGGTTGTCTCCCAGTTTTAAGAAAATAGATTAGTATAATTTTAAATTTCATGTTTAAAATTCAATTAAAATTCCTGTTTTTCATTCTAAGAGATAACCTTATCCAATCTGATACGAAATATTGCTCCTGTGGGGCGATCTAATACATATGTTTGACAGAGAAACACAGTGAAATAACATTTATTTCAGTGGAGATGTGCTTGGTTGCAGTATCTACCAATGTTCAGTGTAACAGTGGACAAAAATGTGAGGTGAAGTGACTTTGCAATAAATAGCTGTTTTTTTGTAACAATTAAACAGCTCGATTTTGTGCATTGCCAGATATCACAGACAGTGTGCAGATACCACAGACAGTGTGCATAGGGAATGAGATCACTCTGATTACAAGACCTGGAAAAGCACATCAGGACATGGATGGTAACACTCAGAACTGTTCTGATGAATACTTGAAACCCTAAGGAATTATGGGTGGACTCCAGGGCTTTTCTGATGTCATTCCAATGGCCATCTTTACAGAGCTGGAAGTCCCATTTTGTTCCCACTTGGATGGCTGCTGAATAAAAGAGCCCAGTCAGCAAAGTTTGAACTTCAGACCTTAGGTCATTGAGCTGCTTGGCGGGGAGCTTGCTTCCAGCCTTGATTTTGGATCTCTCTGCAGAGTGAATCCCTTCTAGAAATACGGCCATAAGCTGAACAGAGGTGATGCTGAGGTGTTTGGTTAGCCACATGGACGTTGCTGCTGAATTGTGCTGCTGCAGGGCTGAGCTTTGTAGACAAGGAGGCAGGACGGTTCTCCAGCTCAGACTGAGAACACAGGAGCTGCTGTGCTTGCCCCATAGTCAGCAAACTTTGCAAGGCTGTTCACTGCCAGTTGTTTGCAGGGATCAGTCAGAAACCAGGGGACGTTTACACACTTCTCTGCTTCACAAAGCATTTTGCTTCGTATGAACTGCAGAGCTGGACTGGAGTAGGAGCAGGCTGCAGGACAGGATGCAGGGAGCTTTCACTGGTACTGGAAACCCCCTCAACAGCTCAGTCCGCGGGTCTTCCTCACTCAGTGTCAGGTTAGAAGTGAAGAAGGAATTTCTGCAGATCAGAGCAGGTGCTGTCAAGTCTTTCATCAGTTTATTGCATGTGGCCTGAAAGAACAGGATTCAGGAGGAGTTTGGAACTTGCATATTGATGGCTTTGTAGGATGCTCATTTTCAAGTAGAAGCATGATAGATCGTGATTCATTTTTTAAACCTATGATGATAAGTTCAATGTTTCTCTAGAAATGAATATTTTACAACTATGAATAATTCATAGGCACTTTCCACGGAAGATAATTCAAGACTGTGCAATTAAACTCATTGCAGTATAGCGCCACAAAAATAGGATTACTCTGAACTGTGCAAGTTAATCTGACCATCAGAGGGAGCCAGGCAATGCATACAATTTAGATTAATTCAATGTTGAGATTTTTGAACATATCCTTTTTTCACATTTTTGCTTTGTGCTTTCTTATGTGCCTCATTTATCATTTTAAAATTGAAAGAGAAAAGCGACGAGCAGCAGTGGAGGTAACCCTGACACTCAAGGAGGTAACATGCCTCTTTTGTAATGAATAAGCCTGGCTCATGTACGGGGAGTGTCACACTCAGTAGATCCCTTTGCTGTTTCCAGCTCACTGCAGCTGTCTAACAGTGGCTTGTCAGTGTGCTGCAGCACGTCTAACCGTGTTTCCATCTGCTGTCACTGAACAGGTGTCCGACCTCACAGCTGTCCACCAAGCTTCAGTATTACAGCTGGAAAACAACCACGCCGTCACCCTTGCTGTACTGCAGGATGAGCACAACCGTGAGATCCGAGGTAAGCCAAGGACAACCTGATGGTTATTCCAGAACAGGAAATAGCCCCTGTCACTGCGTTTGTGTAAGCCTGGAGTTTCTTCCCCCAGAGGAGCTGATACAGAAAATCTGTGTTGGTCTGTGTTGTGTGAACCACCAGGTTTGTGATAGGACAAGGGGGAATGGCTTTAAACTAAAAGACAGGAGATTTCGTTTAGATATGGGGGAAATCTTTCACTCAGAGGGCAGCAAGGCCCTGGCATAGGCTACCCAGAGAGCTGAGTGCCCCATCCCTGGAGGCTTTCGAGGCTAGGGCACCTGATCTGATACGAGGTGTCCCTTCCCAAGGCAAGGATCAGAACTGGGTAGTAAGGGACAGTAAAGTCCCTTCCAAACTGACCCATTCTGTGATTCCATGATTCTGTCTTTCTATGCCGGGGTGAGGGAGAGCCATATGCAATGCATACAGCATTCAGCTTGCACCTGAGAGTGTCTCTATGATCTCTGGGGCAAAGACAAGGCTTTCTCCATGGTTTACTGAGTTCAGATGCCACCTCACATCACCAACAGACTTTTTCTGAAGATCCTGGGTCCCTGAACCCAACCCTTGGGCACTCGGGACGCTGGAGCTTACTGAACAGCTCTCAGAGTCAGTGCTTAAAAGCTATTCTTTGCTTGAGGATGTTCTTATCTATGCGTTTTTGCTGGTATTTTCTGAGGACAAAAGTTGGGGATGGTTATTAAGGTCAAAGCGTGTGCTGCTGCTCTTGCTGTGGGTGCGGGATGCCCTCCTGTGCCCGCAAGCAGTACTGCAGCCGCTGCGCAGAGCCTCGGAGAGCAGCACTGTCATCAGGAAGGGATGCTTAGAGAACAGAGCCCCGTGGGCTGGGAACGCAGGCACAGAATTGGTTGTCTGTGTACTAAAAAGGTAATACTGAACGCCGAGTATTGAGTACCGAGTGCCAGTTTCATGCCGTTGGTTTGGAGGCTAAACTATTCCACTTTGTTAATTAACTTCTGGTTATTTATCAGTCCAAGGTGACTTTTCTAGTAGTGAAACCCTTAATCGTGTAATAGAAATAGAGGAGTTTTTGTCTTCAGGGTCTGATAGTGTCATTAAACCTTACAAATCCTCCACAGCTCCTGGAGAAGCACCAGCATTTGCCTTTTTGCATCCAAGTTACTGTCTCCCCTTTTTATTTTCCCAGAGCAACTGCCGTCCAAATTTGCAAATGTACCTAATTTCAAATCCCTTGGCTTGGGGGTACTCACTCTGAAGTGGTCAGTTGCCCATTTTTCTACTGAACCTTTTCAGATCACAGCCCATGGGAGCTGACAAATCTGAAAAATCCACACCCAGGCATAGAGGTACCACTGAAAAACTGAGAAATGTTGATCCTCAGAACAGTTTTCCCAGAATCCTATGGTGTGTTATTGCTGATTTTCTCCTCAACCTCCATGCCCTAAAACTGCTTTCCACGCGGTGCTTGGCTCCCAGTCTCTGTGCTCTCAGACCCCACTTTGCTGGACTTCACTTAGCGATGTCGTGTCTGTGTGTCTTCCCCAGAACTGGTTGCTGCTCACGAACTGGAGAAAACACAATTAAAGGAAAATTTTGAAAAGCTGCGGCTGTCGCTCCAGGTTAGCAGTTCTGTTATTTCCCACCCTGCAGTGGTATTGCAGAGCACGCCAGGCCCTTCAATCTTACCAGCTGTATTTTGTCGTGCCCATTGTGAGGGCACTGCTCCCCTTTCTCCCTATACATCCCTTCAGCACAGGAACCTGTGTGCCAGGGATACCTCAAATTCTCTAAAGGCCTCTTCTGCTCCACCTGTCCGAAGTGAGATGAGCAGCCAAGGTGCCCCTTGGGCTTTTCTCCCTGTTTTGGCTGATTCTAAATATACTGCATCTGGAAGAGAAAAGCAGGCAATCCTACAGGGAGAAAAATGCAGCTAGGGTTCATGTTAGCTTTGGAAACCTTGTGTGAACAAGATGCCTGAGTACATAATGCCAGCTCTGTTTGATTATCTAGGCACAGATTAATTACGAGTTAGAAAAACCCCAGCTGGTGTGTATTGTTACATGCAGCACTTGTCACACCTCATGCAGCTTTTACAGTTCCAGCCTATTCTGCAGTATGCATTGATGCAGTGTTACAGCTGAGAAATGACAAATACAAAATATAAAATGTGACCTCACAGCAACTGCAGCTTTTACAGGTGTGGGCTGTACAGAAGGCACAGGAATACCTTTCATGGGAACAGAAATAAGATTGCTTAAAATAGCACATTGTTCCCATGGATAGCTCTGAGATGTCATTCAAAGCCCACTCTGCTAACTCATCGTTGCTTATTATCAAATCAGAAGCCCCCAGGTAGGCTGGAAGGTTTCCTGTAAAGGTGAAGGAAGCACGATGGGCATCTCCTCCACCCCATTCAGACTGTAGGAACTGCACAACAGATCTCTTTCATGCCCACGCTCTAAATATCAGCTGTCTCAAGGCAGGTGTGGTTGTTCTTATTCATCTCAAGGTGACAGGGTGATTTAGCATTGAAGACATGTAATGGAGCAGTGCCAGCCATTGTCATCTAGCTGCAGGCATTGCAGGGATCTCAGCCCTCCCCGAGGCACTTCGTTATGAAAACCCCACTGTACGTTCAAGTGCCTTACATAAAAAGTACACCTGGCAGTGATTTCTGAGCCTTGGTCAGCTCCCCTGCTGGTTGCACAGTGCAAACTGGCTTGTGTGGATGAGAGAGGGTTGACTGACGACATGATGATGTGGTCATTTCTCCTCCCCTGCAGGACCAGATAGACACCCTCACCTTCCAGAACCAGTCCCTGAAGGCCAAAGCAGACCGATTTGAGGAGGCTTTGAAGAAGAACACTGAGGAACAACTGAAGGTAGTTGGCAACTATCATTATACAGCCATCATGATACGTGCTTCTGTGTTTGGCACACATCAGTGTTAGCAGTAGGATCCTACTGCAGGACTGGGGCTCATGCCTCAACCAAGACCCCGAATCTTGAACACTGGATAAGTCAGCATTGATAACCTTGTCCTGGATACACCTCAGCACAGGGCCACTGTCTGTTGTCTTCCTTCTGTCCTCTATTCTTTCACCCAGCATATGTAGCTCTGTTTCTAAAACATTCCCTGAACTCTATCTTATATGTCTTTTTTGCTGTCTGTTCGTCTTTTCCTTTTTCTTCTCTTTCACTTTACTTTTTATCTTTTCACATTTATTCTGTTCATATTCTGAGCCAACTTCTGTGATGTTCCCTGTATTCCCTCATTTTTTTCCTGGGCTTATGTGGACAGACTGTCACATCATTAAATATTTATTCAACTGCTGTCTACTGGGGCCAAGCTGTTAATTTACAGTGTGCAAGTGAATGCTTGCTGCAACTATTTATCTGAAATGAAAGAACCCCAAAATGAGCCTCTCTAAAATTTTTTTTATAATTTGGGTCATTTCAGCATGTTCACAGACAGCCCCATGGACAAGAGAGAGAGGGACAGGGAGTGGACATAGTAGGGTTGAGTGAGGGTCTCTAGAAGCTTTCAGGTGAAAAAACTCCTTAGGAAAGGAGCACAAGTGTCTGAAAGTGCCTTGGCCATGGAAACAGGTAGTGTCAGTGCCTTCCACGCCTGCTGCAGTATTTAATTAACGTAATGACAGGACAGATTCTGCTGTGTTGCCATGATGTCAATGCCCGTTACTCCAAGACAGCTCACTGGTGTGAGTTACAGTCACAGAAATCCAGAAAACCATGAATCAGCAGCATCCCATCCTTCTAGGCACAGGGCTGGTCAAAAGAAAGGTATCAGTGTCTGCCCAGATAAAAGGATGTGCCAGGAGAGAATATCAGAGTTCAGATCAGCTGGGGAGGCTCACCTCCATCTGCCTTTCACAGCACCAAGAGTCCTAAATCACTGGGTAGACTGGGAAAACTTTACCTAATGGCTGAAGATGCACTGATGGCTGACATAGGCAAATTGCTGGTATGTTTCCTAGATTGCGCAAGCTCCTTATCTGCACTTAGAAGAAGATCTGAAGAGTTTAAAACATGTTCTGGAATTGAAGAACCATCAGATTCATGAACAGGAGAAGAAGATTATGGAGCTAGAAAAACAAGTGAGTTGTCGTTTTTCTTTTGGAGGAGACATCACAGAGGTAGAAAAGTAAAAGTTTGGTTACAGCAGGAGAATTTAAAACGGGGTGAGAGAAAAACATGTTGGGAAAGACACAGTTAAGGAGGTTCATGAATGGCTATCTATTGTGCTCTTCCACGGCTGAGCACATAGCTTCTTCTACTGTAACATCTCAGATTTTCACTCAGAAATTGGGATTTTTTCCCTCTCCTTCACCTACCCATAGTACTTTGACTTCACCCACACATCTCTTGGCCTGTATTGCTTTTATATGTGGCTACCTGCTCAGCCTGTGCATTAGATTATGAGGTGAGGGGCATAGGAAGAATGGAAGAAGGGGAGGTTTGTGGTCTTCCAGGGCTTAATGTTGTACAGCACCCTGCAAGAGCCAGGTGCCATTTAGGACTGGGAAGGGCAAAGAGGGGAAGACTGAGACCAGCTGCTGCTGGTGAATTAGCAATATTCAGCTAGCAGTCCCTAGCAAAAATCATTCTAGGAGAGTTCTCTGAGGCAATGCTTTTCTGCAGCCTACACTGTTTTCTCATCCTTTGCTTGTGGGGATCCCTGATGAAGAACTCTCTGGTTCACCATCAGTTGCACTTTTTATTGGAAAGGGGATTCATTTTCTGAGGAATAACCTACAGTGACAGTGAGTGTGTAGTATGGTGACAGGATGAGGCATTACCTCAGCTGGGGAGCTGGGACAGCTGGTTCAGCACAGCATTCAGCAAGATTTGTTTCCATTTACGGGGAAATTTGAGAACTCAGATGATTATTTTGCTGAACAGATGCTTGAATCAGTGGATGTAGAGAAAAATGTCTCCTTACAGCTGAGATTTGTTAACTTTGCTCCTTCCAATATACAGCTCCTGAAGCAGAGCCAGAATGTGAAAACATGCACTGTAGAGTTATATTGGAAAAATAAAAAGTCAAAATTTAGCAGTCATTTAGCTGCTTTTGCTAATTAACCACATACAGCACACATATAGCATACAGCTCCTGCCCTTTATCACAGTAAAACATTAAGGCTACAGTGATCCAAGGGCACAACTGCTTTCTGTTTAAACATCTGCCTCTATATGTGCCAGGAACACCTGTCACACGGGGCATCTCCAAAGGCTTTGAGAGATGGGTGCCTCATAGGAAGCAGATGGGCATTTAAAAAACACAGGGTCAGGTGGGTGACAGGATCCTGAAAAGGCCGTGCCCTGAACAGAGCAGGGTTGGATAAGGCTGATGCCCTGCCAGAATTAACTTGCCTGTTTGGCAACCCTAGGCACAGCAGAGGGGTTGGAACTAGATGATCTTTGTGGTTCTTTCCAACCTAATCCATTCTGTGATTCTCTGAGCATGTTCTGTCAGGATTGTAGACCTTCATAGAGATACTGAGGCTCTCTCCCTGCTCTGTATTTCAGCTGAGGTCAGCAGAGACTGGAAGAGATGCAGCAGTAGCACAGGGCATGGCGGGGATGGCCACATTTGGTGGGCTAGGAGACACTGCTGGGCAGACAGCTGGCACATGCAGAGAACATGAAGGCACACTTAGTTCCTTGCCTACTGAAATGAGGGCATTAGAAGAAGGGTGATAGAAAGTCACATGTATATAAACACAGACACATATACAGAAATATTCACAACTGGAACTCTATTTGAGACTCCCACTCAGGAGGGAAGGAGATGCAGCTCTCCTATGCTTTGTGTTGGCACAGCTACCACTTATTAAAACCACCAAGCTTAGGGGAGCAGTGAAAGTACCTGTGACAGTGATTCCTCCCTTGAAGAATTTCAAAATGGGACCAAAATCTGCCCTAACAAAATGTACTGTGGTGAGCCAGAATATCTCCAAATCAGCAGCATCCGTTACAACTACCTGCAGTGGTTGGCAATCACTGCTTAAAACTGATGCCTCCACCATAAAGTGTGAGTTATTGCTAACCTGAGTGCACAGTATTTTGATTCTTTCTAAAAGATTGGGAAATTCAATAACCAAGCTCACACAGAGATAAGGTTCCCTTGCGATATCTTGTCTTTTTCCAAAAGTGTTGAATTCAGCAACATTCAAACTGCTGGAAAAAAGCAAGAACTAAGGTGATAAAGCATGTCAGATTCAAAACTTGAGAAAAACAGAGCATCTGAGGCTGTAGTGCATGCCTCTAACCATATTTGGGATGTGATACACTGCTGGTGACATCCTCCAACTTTGTCCTTGGGTCCTGAGTAAAACTGCTTGTGCTTGGGGCAGGATCCATTTCACCTAATTGTAGCTGCCACTGCCAGCAGCAGAGAGATGTGTCTCCAAAGGGCACCGCAGACGATTATGTTTTATTTGTGCTGGCCAAGACTGGGACCCTCCAGCTCCTCAGTTAGAAAAAAAAGGACTATTTCAGTTCTGCCTCCCTTGATGCTGTTCAGTTACCTCAAGTACCGTGTTCAGTTTTGGGTCCCTCAGGAAGGACTTGGAGGCCTTGGAGCATCTCCAGAGAAGGGCAACAAAGCTGTGAAGGGTCTGGAGCATAAGTCTGGTGTAGAGCAGCTGAGGGAACTGGGGTTGTTTAATCTGGAGAAGAGGAGGTGGGAGTTGGCCTCTTGTTGCTTTGTTGGAACAGGCTGCCCAGGGGAAGTGGTGGAGTCACTGTCCCTGGAGGTATTCAAGAACTGTGGAGATGTGGCAGAGAGGGACATGGTTAGTGAGCATGGTGGGATGGGCTGATGGTTGGACTCGGTGGTCTTAGTCTTAGAGAGCTTTTCCAACCTTAATGGTTCTGTGGTTCTGATTCTATGAAGTTAGCCCTGCTGATGGCCACATCTTTTTCACCAGAATGAATGGGGCGAGTCACTCCTCTAAGCCTCAGCTACAGCCAAGATGACCACTTCCATCCATCTTCAAATTTCAGAAGTTGCTCTGGGGCCAAATAAAGAACAAATCTTCATGGAGTAGGCTTTGGGATTTCTTCAGACTAAAAAAAAAATAACCTCATTTTGTTGCAGGCTGAGAAAAATTTAATCCTGGAAGAAAAAATCACTGTGCTGCAACAGCAGAATGAAGAACTCAGAGCCAGGATTGAGCAGAACACCGTCATAACAAGGTTTGCCGAGATACTTGTACTCTATCTGAGCTTACATAGAGGCTGCAAATTTTAACTGCCCAAGGCTGATGCTTATTTCAGAAAGAGAAGAATTAAGTATATTTCCTCTTGAAAGTGCGTGGTCCTACTCTGCCTGTTACATCAACAAATCATTTTTATATCAGGATTTGTTTAACATGAGGAAGGTCACATATCTATAAGAAATTATTTTCATGACTTTGATGTGCTGCTGAGTCCTAAGTTGCCAATTGCTTCTGATCCCAGAGTCAGTGCCACAAATCATGTTGGTCAGGGGGCACTGAGGGTGGGAAAAGCAGTTTCACACAGGGACAGCCTAACAATGCTGCCATCACCCAAGCAGAGTTACCTTTGGTTTTGTTGTTGTTTGCACTAACAACCTGACTGGAGTGACAAGGTTCCTTGTCAACAGATACATCTGCTTTTGGGCTGGTGAGCCTTTTTATTTTTTCTCAGAAAACGCTGGTTAGAAAAGGCTGTAGTGGGACTTTGGGTATAATTTTTATGGTCTGTCTTGTTGGGCACTGCAAAAGAAAAAGTAATTCCATGTGTAGCAAAGCTTTCCTATGGAGTTATTTCTCCAGGGTGTGCTCCCTGCAGACTTTCTCACGCTGTTTGGACTGTGAGCTCACACCACAGCTGTTTCTCTAATGGGATCGTGAATAGGATCTTTCTCCTCTACTGGGCAAGCAGCTTTCCAAAATCTACCAGCCCATGTCTTTAAATCCTCTGACTCTGCAAATGTTGCTTTGTGGTTCAAAATTGATAGAGGAGGAGAAAAGCAGACATATATGCACAATCAACTTAGCTCCATTGCTGTGAGAAACTTGGCCAAAGAAGCAGAAATCCTCAGCTGCCAGAGCCCTGGAAATACATGATGGGTGGTTGTGTTTGTGTGTCAGGTTTTATTTCTAAAAACTCTTCAGCTGGTAATTGGGTGCCAATGAGCACCCCTGTTGGATTGCCCCAGAACCAGGCTCCTGCCCAAGCACAGTGGGGATGCAGAAACCAGATGACGCTCCCAGAACATGACCAAGTTGCACATCCATCAGGTCCCACCATCTGCCTGGACCATCCCATTTCCTTTAGCACAGCCACCTGGCTAGAGGCAAGCAGACTTTTTTTTGGTGCCCACAGATTGCTCTGTCCCACCCTTGAAGCAGCCACTGGGTTGTAGGGGGCTTCCCTGGTGCTGCAGCCAGGAATGGAGGGTCAGGATGGTCAGGACCCAAAGCCTGACAGGGCATTTGTGGACATCATGTGAACAAGGGAGCACAGAGAGCACAGAATCCTTTCCCCTTGCACGCTGCAGCAGCTGGGTGGATGGAAGAGTCAGGGGTGCAGTGGCACTCACCTCTTTGCTTGTGCTCTGCCACCTCACAATTGCTGTTCCTCATGGTCCAGATTTGGTGGCAGGGTTGAGAAGCAAGGGTGAGAGTTATGGCTGCCGCTGGAGTTGACAACGGAGGTTTGTCCTTGATTACACAGAAAAATGCCTAAAACCCAACATTCCCCCTTCTCCACCGCTTTGGAGAAGATGGAGCAGCTCAACAAGCATCTCTGGGTGATGGTTTGCCTCTGGGCAGAGGTCGTTGGGAAGCACAGGTGTCTTAATAACCTGGGGCCCTGGCCTTCACCCCAGGGGTGGGTTTGGAACCTCTGAGGTTAAGGGGCACAATCCCTGGTAGGAACTGCTGCACCAGTGAACAGACTCTGCAAACAGGGGACACAGCACCATGCTGGGCACTTGCATCCCCCCCATGTGCTGAATGGGGGGGCGATGATGATCCAAGAAGTTTCACTGCTCTTAGGGCTGAAACCAACCCAGCCCTGAGCAGATAGCAATGAGAAGAGGATGCCTGAAGCCTCTGGGTGTACCCACATCCCCAAGCCAAGTACCTGAACAGCTGTGTCCCAGCTGCAGTCCTGGGGACGAGGTAGGGTGAAGTGGAGGGAGGTAGGTGGCCTCCTGCTGCACTGCCTCTTGTGCTTCTGTGCCTCCTCCATCCTGGTGAGTCTCATGTGCTGTCTGGCTTCCCTCCCCAGGCAACTGTCGGAGGAAAACGCCAATCTCCAAGAATATGTCGAGAAAGAAGTGGAGGAGAAGAAGCGGCTGAGCAGAACAAACGAGGAGCTGCTCTGGAAACTGCAGTCGGGAGATGCCGTCAGCCCCGTGAAATCCCCCCCAGCATCATCCACATCATTCTATCGCTGCTCTTCAGGGAACTCCTCGCCAGCCAAAGCCAGAACCGTGCGACGGTGATCCATCATGGCCCTCTGCCTCGGGCATGTTTCCAGCTGCTGAAACTCACACCCAAGGAAGTACCACCATCAGCAGGTGCCAGAGCTCGTGGCTGCAAGCATGCTCCCTGGCTGCATAGCTTTACACTAGGCAGGGCTCTCCAAGAGACCTCAGATAGGAGCTCATGGTTTTGACACGTTCATTACAATAGCAGGGAGGATAGTGATAAGTTAGGATAGCAGAAAGGTAGGCTAGCAAAAGGTTTAGCTTAGTATGATAATGATTTCACTGTTGTTAGAGCCAGCTGTTGGAAAATGCTATATGACAGGTTCATTGGGATGGACGGCTGCTGCAGTACTTCAGGTTAGTCTCAAATAGAGTTCCAGTTGTGAATATTTCTGTATATGTGTCTGTGTTTATATACATGTATGTACTGTACCTTTATACCTATATATAGACGCACACACATATGTATGTAGTTGAAGACGTTCTGAATTGCATTTTTTTATACTCTTGGATACTAAGTGCTGATCTATTTTCATTACAGTCAGCGGTTTTCTAACTCGTGCCTAAGACTTGTATCAAAACAAAACGCATTTCTGTTGCGCCTCCCAGGAACATTTATACCCGAACCAGAAGGAAGTCCCACAGAAATAGAAGCGCCTTCCAAGTGACCACCAAGTGGTACAATCCTTAACACCAGCGACTTTGGCATTCTGAGACAGTACTGCCTTGAGAAATCACCTTTGCATTGAGCACCAGATGAGAAACACAAACCATCCACTGCTTTTAGCTCCTAGCGTTGATGTTGTAAGTAAGTGGGGATAGGATAGAGATGAGAAACCCAAGAGTTCTAGTCAATATGATAGAGGTTACTGGGTAATGTGTTTCAATTTTAGACTCTTTAGCTCCTAGATAGCTTTTATCTTGCTTCCCCTTAACCTAGCTTTGAAAGTCAAAACCTCTGGGTGTAGGGTCCTGTTCTGGTTGATAAGTTTCAAGTCCCACGAGCAAGGAGAAGCAAACAAACCCTTTGTGTTCAGACCTTTGCTGGCCCAGCATTAGGCTGAGCTGGTGGAACACCAGGCGTGATACAGAGGGCTGCATGGGCGCAGAAGAGGTCAGAATGTTCCCTTCCATACCTACCCATGTCTCACACCACTACATTTTACCCAACATTACAAAGTGTGTGTGGGTTCTGTGCCCGGCTTTGCTGGAACACTCTCAGGATGACCTCTGCAGCTCAGACACAGATTTGGTCACCGCCACTGCATTCCTAGTCCCTGTGCAATGCTATAAAAATAATAGTGATGTTGGGTTTTATTCTCCTTTTCTTGAGAAATTTACTTTTGTAGCAGCTTTTGCATGTGACGTGAGCATCTTGTTAGGATAGACCTTACCACAGCAGCTGCCGTTGAAACACGTTGCTAGGTGGTAGTGTGTCCAGCAAGTACAGCCTGCAAGTACAGCCTGTTCTAATAGGTACACACACAAAGGCCCTCCTCGCCAATACAACATAACCACCCTCAGACCTGCTGCATGCTGCAATACCTCCTGCAGTGTTGTGCTTCAGTCTGCCAATGCAGTTCTGATGAGATGAGATGACAAAGTCAGAATTGTTATCATGATCTGATCTCAGCTTCCCCATGCCGAACACACCAGAGTATATTATCAGCCTGGGATGGGCTGACCAAGCCTGGCCTTCATTTCTTCATTGTTTTCCTCTATTTCTGGTGCTTTCCTACTCCCATTTTTGAATTAAATTCGTATTCAGTAATTGCTTCCAGCAGTGAATTGGGAGTGGGGCTTCAATGCTGGGAAAACCAGGACCAGCCCTAGTTCTGCCATCACTTGGTGTCATTGCCAACCCCTTCCCCATTGAATTGTTGCCTCCCAAGCCTGCCCATCACTGAATGCTTCCTTGGTGAGACCTCCAAATCACTGGCAAAGCTCAGAGCCTGGTAGGGAGGTGTCCCAGTCCAGCAAACATTCCCTAGGGGATTTCACAGGTACCTCCTGAGCCCAGAAACAGGGAGTTCCAGTCCCCCTAAAAATCATTCCCTTTTTTTTGCCATGTATGCCCACCATGGGCTGGCCCCAGTGCTGGCTCCCCTGCTCAGTGATGCTGGCACATCTCCCTTGATCACAGGGCATCCACAGGTGCCTGGCCCACCCCATAGGGCCCAGGGGGGAAGGGGGGCAGAGCAGGGGGCCACTCACCCCTCATCCCTCTGGCAGCAGCTTGGAGTTACCAAACATTTGCAGATTGAGCACTGAGGCCTTGGTGCGTCCCACTGCAGGGTTCTGGGGGTGGCAGGGCTGCCAAAGCTGCTGCTGGTGATGGTGGTGGGGAAGAAAGCTGACGCTGACAGGTGCAAATCAGGTATGTTCCGTCTCTGCACTGATCGCTTGTGTCCCATGGACACACAAGAAGCCCCTGTACAGTTCCCACACAGCAGGAGTCCCACAGTCCGGTTCACTCTGTGGCTAATGAGTACAGGAAGTTTGTATTATTTCGGTTCTGATGTACAGATAAGTGTAATATATTCCTGATAATAAATACACGCGCCAGCACACAGCGTGGGTGGGCGCATAAAAACTGGGCTGTCCCGCTGTGTTTTCTGTGTACACAGACATGCAGACACTGGCATGAATAGAAGGCAAAGCGAAATCCTGTTGCAGTGTGGTAAGGACTGGGACCTCTTGGCAGGGAGCAGCTGAGTGGGGTTATCACAGCTCACGTGTTGTGCATTAACTCCAAATCCCATAGACTGTCATAGAGAAAAACGAGGCTCACAGACCAGCACATCCCCACAGCAACACAGCGTCACCATGGATGAGGCACATTAGGTGTCTGGTCTGAGCACCTTTAGCCCCCAGGCATCTTTGGGGCATGGGGACACTGAGCTGGGGCTCTTCCTGGCATCCTCCCGGTGCGGTGGGGGCTGAGAGCACAGCGCCCCATTGGGGATAGCAGTGCTGCCCCGTGGGCTCATTCCAACCCTGAAACCCCACCGAGCAGGGGCTCGGTGCACAGCCCCTCTTTCCTGTAGCAAACCAACGTGGCAGCACCAAGGGCTGCACCTCAGGGCAGTGCCCTCCTGTGCAGCCTGCAGGCACTGCAAATAGCTGGAAGACGGAGGCGGGCTCAAAAATAAGGGCAAACAACAGGCATGGTTTATTCGAGTACTGAGAAAAATGCTTTAATGCTGTACCACTTAACGAGAAGTGAATTGCCAAAAGCTTCATTTGGTGGTGAAGTATTTACAGTGGCACCAGGACAAAAGGGAGCTGTGCACACGCGCGGAGAGGGCGAGGTTCACATTTCAAAACGTAAGGCTTCAAGCGCTGCACGGACACGGAAAAAAGAAATCCAACCGAAAGAAAGGTAAAAAAGATAAAAAATAGATCTGATTGCACAGCAAGCATCAAAACTATTTAACACGCCTGTAAGAAACTCTGAGAAACCATTAGGAAAATAGACCGTCAACAGAAAGGTATATACATTTTGCTTAATAATTAAAAAATAAACACTATACAGACTCTTCCATGGCTTCAGTCCATAAAGTCGCTTTGCTGGCCGCGCTCACCATCGCTCAGTGGAGCACTTGAGGGCACGGCTCAGCCTGGGGGCAAATTCCCTGAGAGCATCCCAGGAGGTGCAGCCCTCCATGCCCCACCGGGGTGGGGGCTCAGACACAGGGAGGGAGCGGTCCCATGAGCAGGGATGGGGTGGGGATGCGGGCAGATGGTAGCAGCGCTCAGTTGTGGGTGGTTTCCTGGGGGTGCAAATTCTGCTCGGAGGAATTCGAGAGATCCCGATGGAACTGATTAAAACAGCACCACTAAAGAGCTGATCTTACAAAATGCGATTCCCCCTAACAGTGCTTTGTCTCCAAGTCAGTAGGAATGGAAGGAGACTGCAGCACTGCCCGCTGCCACAGGGGTTTGGTTTGGCCTAGGGGGAGCGCTGCTGAGCGGCCATGTTCTGAGCCCCACCTTGCAAAACCCTGCCCTTACACACCCATAAGGCTCGAGCCTCTGCTCCCTGTCCCACACCAGGGCCGGGTGACCCCCACACAGCCATGCAAGAGGATGGAGAACTGCACCCCAAGGGATGAGAAAAAAAGGAAATGAAGCCAGAACCCACCCGGCAACGATTTTCAGCAACCAAAGAATGATGTTTGTAAGGAAGTATGCAAAAGCTAGTCATGATTTTATGATTTTTACACCAAATTGCCTTCGTGGTGAGAAAGGTGCTGCTGTAACAGCCTTTGAGAAAGGCTGCCTGGCCACGTGCTGGTGGCTCCTCTCCAGTGAGCTCCTCTCCAGGTTGGCCAAACTGAGGCCACCCCATGGGCAGAGTCATTGCGCTGACAAAAAAGGGTCTGCTCTGGCAGCGAGCAAAGGCAGCACTTCTCTGTTCCCACCCTTCCATCTAGCAAAATGCATCTGTACAAAATATAATAATAAAAGCAAAATAATTGCTGAACTATTTACAAAGATGAGCTCAATGCAAGAGAGGCATCTTGTTCACAAGAGCGAGGTGATAGCAGCAATTGCGTGTCCCCAAAGATACCTGGAGTGACCTATGGGACATGCAGACATCAGCAGGGATGCAGAGACCAAAAAAAAAAAACAAAAAAAAAGAAAATTTAAAAAAATAATTAAAAAATCACCCATTTGAAAACACCACCCCAGAAACAGGCAGCCAAATTTCTACCTTTCAGCTTGCAAATCCAAGCGGGGCGGGGATGCAGCAGTGAGGGCAGGGCAGAGCAGGCAGCAGTGACCGAGTCATTGCGTCCCCACGCACAGCCTGGCACAGGGGCTTCCCCAGGGCTGGCACAGGCCATGGCACATTGGAACATTGGAACACAAAGCGTGGCCAAACAGGATTTTCCTATGAAACCTTCTGGGAGGAAAGGAAATGACAGGAAAATGAACCCGATCCAGACTTTCCCTTTCTCCCAAGTGCTGAAATTATACGCCACAAAAGCTGAAATAAAGTTACAGGATATAAATACCAGAACAGATCCCTAAGAAGACAACAAAAAATAAGTTAACATTTATATAAAAAAAAAAAATACAGCAAGAAATCTGCATATTTTTAGACATTTTTCTTTGGAAATATACTTCCATCAGAACTCAGCCTCATATAATCAATGCTGAACGTCTAAATTGCTCAGAGTTGGTACCCAAGGCAAAGGAAGAGGTCCTTACATTTTTGGTACAATGGGAAACTTCCACACCCTCTGAGTTTCCATTTTCTATTTTTTCCCCTCAGTGCTTTCCAGGAAGTTATGGCACACGCTGGGTTTTTGCCCATGTTTAAATCAAAATAGATCTCAACCTCCTGGGTTTTAATTTTGATACTCTTCTCTCCCCGCTTGAGTAAGACTTCATATGTGTGCAAGGAAAAGAGGACTGGCAGATGGTCAAGGCCATCTGCCAGCCTGAAAGCACCCTGAAAATACATCCAGAGCACATTCCCTCCACCCAGCTCCAGCCCTGAGAAGAACCTCCCAGCTTGCCAGAAGGCCAAGACTGGAACTCCTAGCAGGCAGAAAGGCTGTGCTGGAAAGCTGCAAGAGACGACCCACCACAATATGACTGAGGGAGATGGTCTGGTTCCCCCCTTCTGCTGCTGAGTCGCTGGTTAAGCCATATGGAATCTGTTCCTCAGTCCACACCAGTGTGGTGGGGATGGGTGCCCTTCTCCGCAGCAGCAGGAGTTATGATGGCCAACAGACCAACTGCTCCAGGTGCTGGAGGCAGCAGTGTGGAGGACACCAGGGACAGCCCCTACACAGGTTAGGAGAGAGGATTTCTGCAGTATCTGTTTGGGATTTGTTATTCAGCACATTTAAATAATGGTATTGTGTGGGCACAACCCACCTTTTGAATGCTTCTACAAGCCTTTTTTAGAGCAGTAAATTTGGCTGGAGAGATATTTGAGAGAATCTTTTTTGAAACTGCCTTTCAGCAAAGCCAAGGCCACGTCTGTGTTGCCAGCTCAACACAGACTTTGGTCTCACCTCTGAACTTCACAGAATCATAGAATGGCTCGGGCTGGGCAGGAAATCTTGCACAAGATCTGTTTGCTCGAAGCCCCATCCAACCTCATTCCCAACACCTCCAAAGATGGAGAATTCCCATGGCCCAGGACAGCACAAGCATCTCTGGCCCCACAGAAGCACATGTTGGAGCAAGAGCACACACTGCTGCACAGGGTGGGTGGGCAGCACTCAGAGCAGGGGCTCAGCACATTTATAGCCCTGCTCAGGCCCGTGTTAAGCAGCTGAGCAGCCTGCAAGGTAAACTCTCAGCAAGCCAGCCCCTAGTGAGTGGCTGTGTTGCCCCCTGCTCTGATGGGACCACTGAAAAGGAGAAGACCCTACAACATCTTCATGCCCCACCAGGCATGAGGCACAGACTCAAGTGCTACTCACAAATGAAGTTCAATCCCTGGAGACTCTTCCTGGGTTCCTCCTTCCAGGGACAGAAACATGCTTCACCCTGATGCCAAATGCTCACAGCCAAATGTTTTACTCTACTATTCACATGGCCCATGCTGAGGGAGCTTCTCTAACTTCCAACCAACCACATTTTCAGAAATGGGCTCAAGAGCACTTCTGCCACCCCACTTGTTCAGCCTCACTGCTGGTTAGCTCTGACATGAAGAGGTAGAAGGCTCTTTGGAGACACCTGTGCCATTAAAGACATTCAAGTACTTGCACCAGATATTTCTATGACTAAACCCCAAATCCCTCTGCTGAGTCTACAATTAGCAGAAACATCCATTTGCATTACCTGCACCCTGCCAAACGACCATTCAACTGACAATAAACCCCCCAACATTTCACAGTAGCAGTGTGTTTTAAAGTACATGAATGCCGAGTTAAAAGTTAAATGCAATAAAAACTATGAAACCTGACGCTCTGAAGAACATAAATCTTGCAGGTGCTTTCTTAACCAGGTGAAAGCTCATGTTTGCTGAGAGCCTTTTCTTTGTACGTACATAGGTGGTACAGCTCACATCAGGTGAAGGAAGGGTCTGGTCTAAGCTTGACGATAGCACTGCAGATGTGCTCTGTATATATCAGGTAGAATATCTGTGGGGAGGTCATTCCCAGGGCTACTGAAAGAAGTACCTCTGTGAGGCCTAGTTTCATAGCAGCATTTCAGGTTAACTGGCACACAGAAGCAGTTTTCTTTCTAGACATTGAAAAACAAAACAGAACAAAACAACAGGAGGGAAGAGGGAGAGTGCATGGCCCCAGACCAGCTGACAGCATTGCTGGAAGCAGCTTTTTTTCCTTGTGATCCCTTTTAACTGCGCAACTAAGCAAACTGCAAGCTGCAGCAACGGGCCTGGGGATTCCCACGCTGTGCTTCTTTCTTGCTGCAGTACTGATTAACCATATGCAACACTTCAGGAGCCCCATGGCACAGCTGCCTTCGCCGCAGCGGTCCCCGGTTGCCCATGAGCTACACACGTGGTCATTTGCAGCTGTCTGAGGCAGTGTCCATGCTTCTCTCAGTGTCTGCTGATGCTGCGTACGCAGCTTCCACACTGTGCCATATTCCGTAGGAAAAGTAGATGATAAA